ATAAACTTAACATCTTTATTTGTACCTTTTTTTTAAGTTATTTTTATTTAATGTTTTATATTATATTCTAGTTTTATTTCAAATTACGCAATACATTTTTATTTGAATTATTAATTTTGATACATAAATTTAATATTTTATAATTTAGATTATATCATATTGTAAAATACTAATTATTAAATAAAAACACTTTCTTTTAATGTTAAGTACCTCTCTCAATACAATGACTAATATTAATTTTATGATCAAACTTTTTTCTAATAATAAGATTGCAAAACACTTTTTTCTAGGTTAGTTTAACTCAGAGGAAATTAGTATAGAGAATCAATAATTCTTGCATGAAACTTAATTAAAAGAAAAACGAAATCTTTCTCCATCAAGATACTAAGAAAGAAAAAAACTTTGGAAAAACTTTTGTTGAAATGTCTATGCTGCTTGATTGATGATCAGTACTGGGCTAGTGGGATTTCTAGTCGTGGAAGACTCAAACTGTCTCGGGTCAACGAGCCCCACTTGCGGAGCAACGACAGAACCCGGTTCACACCTACGGCTCGAGCCTTGACCCACCTTCCTAAGGATTTCCTTCTTTAAAATGGCTATGGCGTGGATGGTGGACACGAACCGGTGCCCATCATTCATTCTTTCTCCAAAAACCTCTTTTCAAGCCGAATTCAAGCTTAAATCCAGTAAAAAATTTTCGTTCTTTTCTTTACTCAGAACGAAGATTTGAAGCAAAAAGATTTTGTAATTCATTCATGTCATTCATGTTCATGCAAATTCGTTGACACATGCAGTGTGTATTTTTTAATTGTTTAAATTATTCTTTTGGGTCGGTGTTGAAGGAGGAACATCATTGAATGCAGAATCATAATTCGTGATTGGAGGTAAGAATTTCCGAAGAACAAGGAAGGGAAAAACAAAAATGAAAATTTTTTTTCTCTTTTCTTGAGCTACCCAGAATTTGTTTTCTGAGAAATTAAGTTAAGATAGTAACGGTGATTGTTCAATTCAGGACTAGAAGAAGAAGATGAAGCATGGAAGCACGAAGTTCAGATTAGCCATGGAGATTGAAACTCCAAAGGGTTTAGCAGTGTTCTTGTTAGTTTGTCTAATCTTGGTCTTGATTCAGTGCGCGGTGGCGCAGGGAGTTCCCCTGAGTTCGGCGACTGAACATCAGGCATTGCTCAATCTCCGGTCGTCGTTGGGGCTTCGAGCGAGAGACTGGCCTAGAAAGGCCGACCCTTGCTCGCGGTGGACCGGGGTCTCCTGTACGAATGGTCGAGTCATAGGCATCAACGTGTCCGGTTTGGAGCGGACCAGGATTGGGCGACGCAACCCCAGCTTCAATGCCAATTCTTTGGTCAATCTCACCAAGTTGGTTTCCTTCAATGCTTCGGGGTTTTTCCTTCCGGGGCCCATACCAGGGTGGTTTGGCAGCCGGTTGTCCACACTCCAGGTTCTTGATCTCCGGTCTTGCGGACTCTCTGGCTCGATTCCTGCTTCCCTTGGTAACTTGAGTAGACTCCATTCTTTGTATCTTTGTGACAACAAACTAGCTGGAAGCATTCCTGATGCATTGTGGTCAATGCCTAAGTTGCAGTTTCTTGATTTATCTAGCAATAACTTAACTGGTGAATTGACCAGTCATGCTTCTAGTACCTATATCACTGCTGCGGTGTTCAATCTCTCCAACAACTTCCTCTATGGACCTTTGAACTTTCAATTTGGGATTTTTAAGTTCATTGATTTGTCTGGTAACTATTTTGAAGGTGCAATCTCAGATGACAATGTAACAAATGCTGCCGTTGATAAGAATTGCCTTAAGGTTGTTGCAAACCAGAGGCCCTTCGATGATTGTAGACTGTTTTATACTGAGAGAGGCTTACATATTGATTATTTTGAACCACCACCACATCCAGGGAACAGGAAAAGGTGGATTTTCATCTTGGCAGGCGTATTGGGTGGACTTGGCTTTGTTGCAATTTTGGTACTGCTTCTGATCCTGCTCCTGAGAAGATGCAATTGGCGAATTACAAATCAAAGTGGGAACCCAAATGGAGGGCCAGTTCCAGAAGGTGATAGTTCCCAGCTTCAAAAGTTTTCTGTCATTGTATCTGGCTCTGGAAAGCCATTTACACATGAGCAATTGTTTCGTGCAACTGAAGGTTTTAGCGAGATGTACCTTATGAAACATGGTCACTCTGGAGACATTTTCCGGGGTATATTGGAGAGTGGGACTACCATTGTTATCAAAAGGGTCAGCTTGCCATCTGTTGAGAAAGAATCATACAAAGTGGAATTGGATTTGTTCAACAAGCTTTTACACATGAGATTTGTTCCAATCTTGGGCCACTGCTTGGAGCACGAGTATGATAAGCTCTTTGTCTATAAATATATGCCAAATGGAGATTTGGCTACTTTCTTTCACAGGACTACCAATTCTGAGGATGACAGCATGCAGCCTCTGGACTGGATTACAAGGTTGAAAATAGCAATAGGGGCTGCTGAAGGCCTTTCTTACTTGCATCATGAGTGCAACCCTCCACTTGTTCACAGGTATTATAGAACTTGCTTTTGGCTATTTTATGCGATAATAATTTTCTTAAACCTAGTCAGAGAAATAAAAATGGATAAAAGTGCAAATAGCAGAACTCTTTCACTGAATTAAAGTGAAAATTAGACTTGTTACATTTTCCCGCCCAAATCTAAATATATTGCAGACAATCTGGTACAAAGGGCTTGATGCTGAGCTTTCTTTCCATTTTGAAATTGTGCTAACATTTCCATGCTTAATAGTTCCATTTTGCTTTTCATCTGTTCTTATGTCATGAACTCATGATTGTGATATTTAAAATTGCTTTGTGATTTACTTGAGGAAATAAATTTTTAGGTTCTGGCATCAAAAGGTAGCAGCTACATCCCACATATCTTGCAATGGAATTGCATTTTCCAAATAAAAAAGAAGGTTCAAATTATAATGTGATTGTATTTTAAAAATGCATGTTGATAACTAGAGATGTCTAAATTCAAGCACAAAATAACAAGATACATATACCAGTAACAATTGGAATTAAACCACTAAACTTTTATCCTTGCTTATTTTTAACTTTGCTTTCTTGCCCTTATGGTGTTCATTACTAATCAGCAGCTTTATAAAGATTTACACTCAATAGCATATATCTTACGTGCAATTATGTTTCTGGTGGCTGAAGGGATGTTCAAGCAAGCAGTATCCTTCTTGACAATAAATTTGAAGTGAGACTCGGAAGCTTGAGTGAAGTTTGTGTCCAGGGAGGGGATTCACATCAAAACGTGCTCACGAGGTTCATGCAGAAGCCACAGTAAGTATTGATCAGAAGGCTACTCTCTCTTTTTTTTAAATATATATATATATATATATATATTGTACTATTTTTTGGAATTATAATAAAATTTCCTCTTGGTGATCTGCAGGACCTCTGAGCCAGCCCCTTCAGGTACATAAAATTCACTTGGATCTTTCATTACATTTAAACTCCCTGAACAACGTCTATTGGTAATATTGTTTCTAATAAAAAATGAAAATTTTGTTGATAATAAACCTGTGGGTGATGATCTGTCTCTGAAACTGAAGTAGTTATTAAGGAGAGAAGGCCTATCACATGATATAGAAGAATAATCCTGATGCTATGTTTCTTTGGAAATGAACAGGCCAATCTCCAGCAAACTGTGCCTACGACGTGTACTGTTTTGGGAAAGTATTACTTGAGCTTATAACAGGAAAGCTTGGCATCAGCAGGACAGATGATGCCTCCACAAAGGAGTGGTTGGAACAGACATTGGCTTGCATCAGTCTCAATGACAAAGAATTAGTGACCAAGATCATGGACCCTTCTTTAATTGTAGATGAAGATCTACTGGAAGAGGTATGGGCAATGGCAGTTGTGGCCAAATCATGCCTCCACTCCAAGCCTTCAAAACGACCCCCAATGAAACACATTCTCAAAGCGTTGGAAAATCCATTAAAAGTTGTCCGAAAGGAGAGTTTCAGCTCCTTGATTCTCAGAACAACGTCATCCAGGAAATCTTGGAATGCTACGATAGTGGGCAGTTGGCGGCAAAACTCATCAGGGAGTGGTAATGTTCTTGGCCATACGAATAAAGAGAGTGTAGGAGGGTCGAAGCAGTTAAAGAGAACAGGCACTCAGAGCAGTAGTGGAAATATTGACCGCTCATCTTCACATAAAAGGTTATCAAATGAAGTTTTCCCAGAACCAACGGATGTGCAAGAAATGGAAGGGCCAGCTGAGCATTAGCAGAAAGGGTGTTCGCTCCTAATTGGTTTTATTGGCATCCTGCTCTAGTTCTGGCATCTCAGTTATAGTGGCCCAGCTATTATCAAGATGTTCTGACGAAGGTAATTTGGTGGCGTTGGTTCAAATTCATGCCCAATAAAAAGAGAGATGGGACAGAGTATCATCCGGCTGATTCTTCTAGTACATTTTAAAGCTTGTATAATGTCATAGGCTCATATGCAAATTTTCACTGTAATCTCCACCAGCCTATCGTTCCCTCCGACCTACTTTCACCCCCACTCCCCCAAAAAGTCCAAATCCCCAACCCGTTCATACTTCATACCCTTTTCCTCCAACCACCATACCCACTCCACCACCACCTAACACAACCATTCCACACCGATGTCACCCTCCAAACCACTGCCTTCCACCAATCCAGAAGAATAAAATAATAATAATAATAACGACGACGACAACCTACTGTTTGTAGCGCTTCATGATTCAAAATTATTTTACATTGCATCAAGGGAAGAGGAAAACTAAAATCAAAGAGCAGAATAATTCTTTTTCCATTTATCTTCGATCATAACTGATTAAAGATAACTCAAAAATATGAGGTGGACACCAAAATCATATGCAAGGGTAATTTCAGTCATTTTCATTTCATAGGAGACCCCATTTCCTATAGAGTTGATGTTCTGTATACAAAGATATAAATTAGTCATGTAAGTATTATTAGTAATTTTTTACTCTACAGTTAGAAAATATTTTTTTGGGAAGGAATTAAGAAGGGGTTGAACTTTAGAAGGATAAATATCCAGCTCTGCTCTCTGGCTGCGCACTAGTTTCCCAGGAGAAGGATGTCAAATTCATGAGGCATGAAGTCTTCACTGGGCCTATAGTATTTGTCTGGGGAGTACAAGCTTAAGTTTGATACTTGGCTGGTGTAAAGACAGGCAAATCTCTCAACCTGCGTTGCACAAACATATATTAATAAAATGACTTCTGTTCAGTGTGCAACAAGCAACAAGAACAATGAATATCGTAATTATTTTGTTCCTCAAAATCACATTTTATCATCAAACAGATGAAAGTTCTGATTCTACCTGATGAGCAAAGCGAGAGTTCTGATACCCAGTTTTCATGAGTTGTCCCCAGACCTTGTGGAACTGCAAACAGAGAAAAATGGAATAGCAACATCTTCATCTATTAATACAGAGTTTACTCTTGGTAGGCTTCTAAATAGTTTGAAACAGGTAATACAAGGTACAAATCGATTTCTATACCTTTTGGTGGTGTTCTCGTTGGGCAAGTTGATGAGCAAGTCGCACTTGATCTCTTTGAGACTATCAAAACAAATCATTGAAGATTTCATCATTAGTATAACTTTAAATCAGCCATCTTCTTTCACTGCTTAGTATTAACATCAAATGGCATTACGGCTAATTCATGCAGGGTAGAAGATATAGTCCGCTTCTCATCATCATCAGTACTTCCAAACCTGAAACAAAGGAATAACTTGTTCTTAGAGCATGATTTCCCGACTATAATGTTCAAGCAAAATTTTATTTTATCAAGAGTATAGTATTTTGGTTATAAACTTACTTCAGATACCACTTCAAGTGATGGATTCGGTCTTCAATAAGATCACGTTCATTTCTCAGCAGTCGAAGTTGCTGATGCATATACTTGGGTTAGTTCAGGGGGAAGAGAAGTGATTAACTAGGTAGATCATCAAAGCCCTCATCAACTTATAGAACTGAATTCTTAAAGCAAATAAAATAAGTATAACAATCAAACTTCAACACATTAGACTATTTTTGGGTATAAAAGCTTCAAAAGAATTTCAAGCACCCTAATGGACCAACCAAAATATCAAAGTTTATCACTGCAATGATCAAAGTAATAAAAAGGGCATCATTATTCAGGGACAGAGTTGCATCTTAGATTCTGGAGAAGGAAAAAGATTTATGGCTATTCACCAACTGTTAACACTTCAAGTCACTATGAAAACACTATAAAAAAAATAATACTTGCCTTGCGCATATCCCTTAATTCCCAAAGCAGCTCAACCTCCCTTTCAAGCTCGGGAACAACAAGCATTGTTCTCCATCCTACATCCCAAAACATGCAAAACTTTCATTAAACATTACAAATCATCAGTAAGTCCAGTCAATTAAATTTTATATTACTCCATCTGTGCTATCCTTCTAATTCCACACATAAGAATTAAATGGATAGAACTAGGGGGAAGAAGAAGAAACATACCAAGAACCTTTTTGCTTCGCAAAATATCTCCATAGATATGGTCTCCAACATAAAGAACCTACCAAGAATACAATTATTAAAAAACATGCAACTTATCTCTTAATCTTAGAATTTAATAACTGCTTTTACCTGTGAACTTGATTCTATCGAAAGCAATTTATGCAGATGACCAACATTACCTCCCTACAAGAGAAGTCCAAGGAATTACTAACCATTATTTCATAGTCCTTATTTCCGTCCACAAGGTCAACCAAAAGATAAGTCAGTCGGTAAAGGCATGTGCCAGAAAGCAGAATCCACTATGCATCAAAATAATCTCAAAGATACCTGGAAAACTCGACATCTCTTGTTTGACTCCTCCACAGGTGGTATTATTGGTGAAGTAGTTCCCACCTAACAAAAAAGAGCCATGAACTAACAAAACACCTAAAGAAAGGAAAAAAAAAAAAGCTATAAAGTAAAATGCAGAATGATCAGATTTCTCTGAACCTGAGACATAGGAGTTCCATTATCAGTATTAAGCAGCATCCCAGACTCAAGGTCAACCTCAAAAAGATTGGCAAATTTATCTTCATTAAAGAAGCCAGGCTTTGCACTGTATTGATAAGTTATCTTCATATCAGAAGTTAAAGGACAAAGCCCATAAACTGTGCACTGTATGGAAAAAATGGTGAATGACAGGGTTTTTTTTTTTTTTTTGGCCTCTGAAAGACAGGTAATAGAGTTTAGAAATACATGTGAACTGGGATCATTTAACCTTTTGAAGTTGTGAAGGTGAACTAATAATAAATTATATGTTTTGTTGGCAGGGAAAAAAAAAAAACTTATCATAAATTAGCAACAATATCACTGAGATAAAAAGAGAACCATCTTTGAAAGCTTATGATGTACAGGGAAAGATACTTTACCTGCCAGTGATGACAACATCAAAGTACTGAAGCCAAACCAAATTGCAAGGGATGCTACCATATAAGGTCCGGCCTCCACAGAGAAAATTCATCACAATATTGGTGTAGTCCCATAAACTGTAAGATTATGAAAATGTATTGAGTAAGGAGAATGGTCTCACACAGACAGCATCATACATAAGCAAAAGTATCTGAAATATTCAAGTGCCATTTTCTTGCAGACAATGTTCTTTCCAAAGAATTTGACTTGAAGTTGTAGATCAAATAAAAGAGGCAACGAATCCCCAATTAAATCTCCAAGCATAAATAACCAACATTTGCATTAAATGAGAATTCTACTTATCAAGTTTCATTTATTTAATTAAATTATTCTTTTTTCCTCTGTTGAGGGTTGGGACCAGCCGTCATACCTATTTGTAACCAGGAATGTTGAACGACCTGAATCTCTAAGCATTTTCAGCATGGGCACTATTGCAGTATCCTCATTAATATACCTGATAAATGAAGCAATTTGAAAATCATTCTTCAGTGTACAACATCAACTCGTCAATCAAAGACTAAAAGTCTCTCCAATTTCCATTTAACCTTTTAGGATCCCTTGCAACCATTTGTTTTAAGCTTCCATCTCGATGGCACAGATCAACAGCAGCTCGAACATCTCTATACATATGAGCGTAACTGGAATAAAGATTTATAACATACATTACTTAGTGATATATGACATACTTTACTCATCATTGCTCTAAACAGTAAACCACAAATAAAACACTAAATGAGAAAAATAGCATAACAATAAACACTTAAAGAAGAAACTATTAATTTTCTTACTCAACACCCTCTGGAACTTTCCCAGGATTATTGTCCTTAAAATCAACAAGTTGAGCAAACAAGTATGCTTCAGCTAGTGAAAAGAGGGTATCAATAAGGGCATAATCTGGCTCATCAAAGGCATCTCGTACCAGTGTACTCCCATAGGTCCCAACTTTATCTTCCTTAGACATCTCCCTGAACCCATGGTATGCCACTTTTACATACTTATGCCGATCCATCTGTATAATGTAGGTCATTAACATAAATTCTTTACTCATGGGATAGGAGAGAGAGAGAGAGAGAGGGGGGGGTCATATAGAACAAATGTAGCAGATAAAATATGAATTCAGTCAACCTTTAATATGTTGCCTCTCTTTTTGTCCAGAACCAGGCCTCGAACCATGTACTTCCAGTCAAATGTCCACCTCAGTAACTGCATAAAGGTTATCCCATCAACAATCCTTTATGTATAGCCCTTAAGAATGATTATATGCTAGGAATTATGTTAAATAATTGGCAGTCAAATGGGATGAAAATCTTTCCGATGGATAATTT